ACTTGAAGTAAACAGCCTAGATCCCTTTCTTGTTTTCACCCAACAAAATCAGTGATTTAGACTCATCTGTTAACCAATGAAAGCCTGAGCCACTAGTGAGGAAAGAAATACAAAACCACAGTAATATTGAAGCACAGAGATTAGGGAGAAAAAGTGCATCTGATGGAGTTGAAAGAATATAGTAATTATGAACTTGGATCCTGGGGTTCAAATGTCAGCTGAGCCACCTATTAGCCAAATCCTTGCTCAGGTTATTTAACCTCTCTAACTCACAATTTCCTCCTTTATTTTACTTGGACCCCAATACAGTCTAAGGCCAACCATGGGACAGGTATCAGATGTTGAATAAATGAATGGATTAATACAGGAAGAAATTTAAGGCCTACAGCAATTAAATGATAATATCTAGTGGGGGCTAATGAAGAAATCAACTCCCCACATTAAAGCAGAGGTAAATGTCACATGTCATTTCTTAGTAAAATAAAGTTAAAAGCTTTCATCAAGATGATAAATCTATCATCCCATCAGACTTTTTGAATTTGACTACCATTTTATCTTTCCCTCTGCCCCTCAGTGTCACTAGACTCTTACTCCCTTCTTGGCCACAAACATGTCTTGGCACTAGAAGGGTTTAGGTATGTTTATGGATAAAAGTGAGTCTGGAATAAGGAACAGGAGTGTGGAAACACCCACCCTCCGGTTCCTGAGCAATCTTCTCTCTCCTTTCCACAATGCTTAGTAAATAACAAAGTGTTCCTTAAAATTCTGGGTATGTGGTCTTATTTTTCCTTAACATGGCTAATATTCTTGATTTTCATTCTACCTCTCACAAGGTATTTCCCTACCTCAGAGGCTTCAGTGAATAAGAACAGCCTGAGGAGTTTAGACCTGGAGCACTTAAGCTTTCCCAGTATCCTACAGGGTGATTGATTTGGGGTTGAGACAAGGGCTAGAAGAACATAAAAGAGAAGTGGCAAGCAAACCATATGGAAAACAAAACAAGGAAACAAAGCAGTTATCTGTCAAATTGTATATTCTGCCTCACTGTAGTATGCTGTTTTTTAAGCCTTTGGGTATAAACCAAGGAGTGGGATAACTGTTGTTTCCATTCCAAGTTTTCTAAGGAATCTCCATACTGCTTTCCAGATTGGTTGCACCAATTTGCAGTGACGCAGCCACATCAATGTTTATAGCAGCATAATTCACAATAGCTAAATTGTGGAACCAATCTAGATGCCCTTGAACAGATGAATGGATAAAGAAACTATGATATATGTACATACATACACACACACACATACACACAGTGGAATATTACTCAGCATTAAAAAAATAAAATCAAAGCATTTGCAAGTAAATGGATGGAGTTGAAGAATATCATGCTAAGTGAAGTAAGCCAATCTCAAAAAACCAAAGGCCAATTGTTTTCTATGATAAGTGGATGCTGATCCATAATGGGGGCAGGCATGCAAGCAATGGAGGAACTTTGGATAGAGCAAAGGGGAAAGAGGGGAAGGAGGGTAGGAAAGATTGTGGAATGAGATGGACATCATTACCCTAGATACATGTATGAAGACATGAATGGTGTGACCCTACTTTGTGTACAACCAGAAAAATGAAAAATTGTGCTCCATTTGTATTCTATGAATCAAAATGCATTCTGCTGTCATGTATAACAAATGAATCAAGTAATTAATTTAAAAAAACATTGTATATTCTTTTTCCCAAACCTTGTATCCTCACAGGACTTGAAATACTGTCACAGGGTGTCAGACCTGTCCCAAAGGAGGATGCTGGGGATAGAGCTTCTAAGCTGGACTAGTTCTACACTACTTCCAAGTTAACTTTGGAAAGATCATATGGTATTTTATAAAAGCTCTTATTACTAGTCCTTATGAATTTGTAATTATTGAGCCAGCCCTAAACCTTGAACTTTATCTCAGAGATACAAGATGGAGCTACTGCAAACTAGACTTCCTTGGGGCATGGTATACCAAAAGAGAACTGTTAGAGATTGAATTAGCATAGAGTAAATATCCAGCCAGCAGTGTAGGTAATTTTCTCCTTACTCGTGGAATGAGTTCCTCAGCATTAGTTACTCTGTGTTGATTCTTTGTAGAAATAACTCATAAGCAGCTGAATCATTTTGGAGCAAATTTTCCATCACCTTCCTTCTCTGTAGGGTTCAGGCCTTTGTAAACCCTGAGTAACATAAATCTGCTGGTTCCCTGCTGGTAAGGATGACTATGGCGTTTTTTGTTCGTTTTATTCCAGTTTGTTTTAATCAAATAATGAGAACACCCTAGGGGAAAATCTCATTATCATATTCAAAATACATTAAGAGCTTTCTGGTCATACTTAGCAGACTTATATTTATCCAATATTTCTCAAATTTGATTCTGTTATGTTTCCCAAAGCATGAAGAAACTCTCAAACAGCATCATTTCAAACGCAGCACAGGACAATAGAAAATGCTGTCACCTAATCCTGTAGGGCCTGTGGTATTTTCTGTGATGGCTGAATCAATCTGAATCCCTCTTTTTTTTTTTTTTTTTTAATCTGTAGTTTTTAAAGATGTCAGTGTGGAGCATCAGCAGTTGAAGACTCAGAATACCAAGCCTGTCCTCCCCTGTGACTGTCACAAATCTTTTGCCTGCAGGATGAGCCTCCATCACTGACGTAGTTACTGTTTTTTTTTTTTTTCCTTAAATCTGGAAAATCCCCCGCCTCCTCCATTCTTTCACAAAATTTTCTGTCTGAATCATTTCTAGTCTGAGAAATGACACACATTTTGCTTTTCCTAAAGCAGGATTTTCTTTTTGTTTTCCTTCTTGCTCTTTCTCCAAATTTCTGCATGCTGCCTTTAGGTCACATTTTGGGAAAAATTCTGACAATAAAGGATTTTTCAGAGCCTTTGTATTTTCACCACTACCCCAACCCTATTCCAGCTTACTTTATAATGAAAGTAAAACCCATGGGGTGGGGGCGGGATTTACAGGCAATCTAGTATCTAAAGACCAGGCAGATTCTTTTTCTTTATTATATAAGAATCTTGAATGTTTAATGAATATTTAAGTAAACAAATTTCAGCAACATTCCTTATTTTAGAGATCATGCTTTAATGAAAATGCAAACACTACTTATTAATTATTATTGCAAACATTAATATTTCAAAATGCCCCTTGGGGTCAAGGAACCTTTAAGAAACAACGAGTTATACTGATTTCAATTAAAAGCATCCTTTATTAAATTCGTACATCTCTACTCCTTCTAAACGCAGTCTCTTTACAACTCTTCTTCCCTCTCTCAGATCTCGCCCCGCCCTCTCCCCACAATCGCGGGCAATTAAAAGCTTTATTATTGCTTAAGCTGTCTCTTAGGCCAGCGCTTTCGCGCCCACTTCCCCCCATCCCCCCAACCCACCCCCCGCTCTCCACCACTCTCTCTCCCCCTCTCCCATCGCTACCCCCACCCTACTCTCGGGTAGGGTGTTTTGTAGGTTGTTTTTCTGAACCCAGCTCTAACTTATTTCTTCTACACCAGACAAGGATTTTCCATCGCCCAAAAGAGGCCATCAAGTTTTAAGATTGCGAGGCACGACTTCTAATCGCATCCTCCGCGGAAAAGTACAAATAGTTCCTCAGACTAGGTCCCCCACCTCCCACGCTCTTCCCAGCTCGCCCTCCCCGCGGAGAGCCCCGCGACAGCCTCCCCAACACCTGTGAATCATCCCAGAGAGGCTGCCACCGCGGAACTATTTGCATACCACCATCGCCACAGTTACCCCCCTCCCTGGGCACCTAATGCACACCAAGGGAAGACAGGGTGGTTTTATGATTATTATTTCTAATCTCTCACAACCATCGCAAGTCGCCTTTTTCGCTCATGCGGGGTCTGAGCATCAGAGGGTCCCCAGGACTTCCTCACTGATACCCAGGATTTGCGAACTGAATGAACCACCAAAATTTTGTCGCATTCTGGTCTTTCTTGAACTCAAGGCCCTCCACCTTTTCTACGGGTGTCTGGTCCTATAAGGAGTGTACGTGACTCTGTGGACACTTCCTAAGAAATCCAACACAAACCCCCAGGCTCCCACTGCAAATCCAGTCGAAAACAGCGTCATCTATTTTGCCCTCGGCAAACTACTCTCAACTCCGTGCCCTGAGTCCTAGGAAACCCACGCTAGCTGAGTTAACTACCCTTCTCTCCCCCTTTTCCCAACTCATCGGATGAATCTCAGTGATAACTGCTCTGACGTACTTTAAAATAAAGTATGCGAGTCTCTCTCCCGGACTGACCATATTACTGCAAACTCCAAGCCCTCGATGCTGCTTTCATAAACTAAAGAAACCACTCATAAAAGTAGCAACCTACGTAGCCTGGCCATATATGGAACTGGTGAAGGATGACAGGAATACCCCTTCGGATTCTTTTCTTTGGAGAAAACAATTCTCAGAATCTGCCTCCACCCCTCCCACCTTTTGCTCCTCGGCTTTCCTCTCCTCTACTGTGACTCAACTCAGCTGGGGATGAAGATAGACATATATATATATATATATATATATATATATACACATACATATATATATATACACACACATACACACACATACACACATATTATACACATACATGTATTCACACTCACATACATATGCATATATAAACATACTTGCACATATACACATATATACACACATACATATATATGCACATACATAAACAAAACAAAGGCCATCAGGAAAACTGTTGCAAGATAAATGTGTTGCCAGAGACCGAGTGTTAAAATGGAGTCATAAGAATCGCCTTACTCGGGTGTTTATAAAGGACTAAAATACAGAGGTTTGCAGTAAAGCTTACAGGGAGCTGAGTCAAGCGCTCAGAACCTCCTGGCTCCTCCCCTCCCACCCCCAGACAGCGTCCTCCCTCCGCCCTCCCCCCAGCACACTTCCTCCCCGCCCCTCCAGGCGAAGGCTATTAAAAGCTGCTGACGTCAAAAGGGACGGCCATCTTTGATGAGGGCAGAGCTCACGTTGCATTGAAGACGAAACCTCGGGGAGGTCAGGCGCTGTCTCTCCTTCCCTCTCTGCTCGGTGGCTCCTCCACACTTGCAACCTGCAGGGACTCGGCCAACACCACCCTCTGAAGAAGCAAAGGTAAGGAGCCCCCTCCCCGATCGTGGTTCTGGTTCTGGATGGCTGCATACCCAGAAGGGACCACAACTGGGCAGACCAAGTGAGCTTGGGCAAATAACAAGTATTTGTGCACTTAGGGTGCGGTATTCCGTGTATGCACGTCTGGCTGACTCTCGCCTGGGGCTTTATAAAAGTATTTTCGAGGTGAGCTGTTTGGGGAAGAGATGAATGGGGACACTGCGGATGGAGCGATGGGAAGGAAGAGCAAGGATACGTGCGGAATGATAACTTACTCTTTTGAAACAGTAGTGGGACCCCTCTCTCTCTTCCATCTTGCGATGCAGTTTTCAGAGATGTTTAGGTTGTTCGGGTTATTGTTGTTGTTGTTTTCTGTAGACCCCCAAACAAGACAAAACAAAAAAGCCATCCTGTCGTTCTACTGCTATTATTATGACTGTTGTCGTTAGGGCGCTATTATCCAAGGGAGAATTAAGGAGCCGGCAGGGTGTGGGCGCTGAGGAGGCGAAAGCAGAAGGGGGGAGTTCCCGCCCCGGGCAAGCTGAGCTGCGGCAGGGACAGCAGCCTTCATGCCCCACGGACTTGATTTATGCCGCCTGCTCCACGTCAACTGCAGGCTGGCGGGAGGCGGGCAGGTCGTGCTGGGTGGGAGGGCTCTGCGGAGTGCTAGCGCGGGTGGGCTCCCCTGGAGGACTGCGGAGGCATGCACTCAGCACCCTGGACAGCACAGCAATACCCACCAGGGCTCGCGCTGACGTTTGCGACCTTTCAGAACCGCGGACAGCGGTCCGGCTGCCGCACCGCATCTACCTGCCGCAGAGATGCTGGGCCAGCATTAGACGTGCCAGGGCTGGAGGCCAAATTGTCTTTCTGAGACCCCAGTCTTACAGAGACTCTTAATAGAGCAGGCATACTAGGTTAAAATAATAAGTGAATAAATTCTGTCCACAGGGACTTCTTTACAGACAATTGCCTGCTGTCCTCACCTCCTGCATGACTTAAAAAAATAATAGTCTACTTGTAGAAATCTTCTATGTTGCTCTCCACTGCTTCTTTCAAGTGGGAAATAAAACATCTTTTAAAATGCATTTAACCTACAGTATGATGTCAAGGTTTTTGTTTTATAACACAAGGCAGATCTGTCTATAGATCTTGGGTGGGAAAGAGATGTGTATGTATATATAAAGACGCCAAAACTATCTGTTTATAGGAGTGATATATCTCTGTACATACTTCCATTTGATTAAAATGAAGGATTAGCTGAACTAAGCAGAATCAACTTTAATAATGAATCCTGCTTCCTCTCCCTTTGCCCTTTACTCTTATACTTCGGCAGGAACACAAGCACTCAGCCTCAAAAATACATCTCTGAGAAATACTGCAGGTCTTTAATGTATATATTTAACTTCTTTGATGATGGTTTCAGAGCTAGTGGAAGTATTTCTTATCAACATTGCTTATAGCTATCTGATAGCTTTTGATTTTGACAACATTAACACTAGTCGTCCTCAGGAGAATTCAGCTGTGTCTTTCAGGGCAATGCAGGTGAAAAAAAATGGTATTAGGCTGACACTGAATTCTGACCTAAAGAACTACTGCAATTTCTATTATAGCACTGCGGGATTTTGCTGAGGCGGTGATAAGTACTTTAACCACTTTTCACTTTGAGACTACAAGCCTCTGAGTGAGCAAAAATCATCATAGGTATATAAATGTCAGTTTGATAGAGACTCAAAAATTGTTACTAAATGACCAGGATCAAAATTGTACTATTTTAGTAGTTAGTAAAGAAAAGTAATGGCATCATATTTAAGAATATATACAACATATTAAAGAAATGCTATCATGATTCCCTAAAAAAAAATCCCAAAATAAGATCTTGCATTGTTCAGTTGTAACTCCAGTCATCTATATCCTAAAGATACTAAAATTCTCTGTCCACATACAGAAGGTGATTTCATTTTCAGCTGTTTATTTATTTCCTAGTGTTTTTCCTTTTTTATGGATAGCCATGTGTTTCCCTATATGTATATGTTTATCTATTATTGCTCATGAACGTAAAATTATTTGGGTGGAAATTTATTCAAGAACATGTAACTGCATAGAAGAAGTTTGTAACTCTGAAATCTTCAGACAAAATAAACAACCATATTTTGGTGGTGGAAGAAGGGGAGGAAATATGAGCAGGAGTCTATAAAAATGCTTTAACTTCATGCTGCATGTCCAAACAGCTCTCTGCGTTGATGCGTCAAATGAAAAGCCTAATGCTGCCAGAATTATGTGCTTGGACATTAGTAATTATTGCTGGGTTTGTTTGCTAGTGGAAGACTAGAGGGAGAGGGAGGTAGAGGACTGCAGTGAAGCTGGCAGAGGGCACAGAGCTGGAAGGAAGAGGCAATGTGCACAAATATAGAACTAATTCTAGAATAGCTTACTGAGAAATTAAAGACAAACATAATCAGAGCATGAATTTAACATTTATGTCATCGACAATCTTCAGGGGAAATAAATCAGGAGATTTTCCATTTTTAAGTTTGAGTCTTAAAAATCCAGGGCAATGCGGTAAAAGAGGCAGGAGCAGACAGACAGAAGGATGAGCCAGGATACATTCCTGCAAACCCTCTGATGGGACCTGCTTATTTATTCATTGGCATTTCCTGTATTACCATATTGGTATTCATATTACAAAACAATTTACAATATTTGTAATCCCCCAAGAATTCAGAATTTTATTTTTACTTTGGTAAACATGCACAAATACAATATAAACCACCCTTTAGTTACCGTGTCAAAAGATATCCCTAATCTGTAAATATTAACCCCAAGGCAAGGGTTACCAACTGAAAGAATGCTGTTTCTTCCAGTGACACCTAAGAGCTGTGTAGCAACTGGCCTTAAACACATATAGATCTTGACTATTAGTGGAAATGACAAAAAATAATTTTAAAGGTTGAGAGAGGAAACATGGAGAAAAAATAAATCATTCTGCCCTTTAGATGATGCTCTATGAACAAACAATATTTCTTACACTATAGGGCCACTTTACAATTCTAGAAAGCTGGGAAATTTTATGTTTTCAACCTCAGCGCTGGGAACATTTCTGCAGTGTCATCCCTTGTCATCAGGGACCAACCTGATAGGAAGATATTGATCAATCAGTAAACACCAGCTACATAAGTGAATCACACAAAGGATATAAAATGTCATGGTCATCTGGTCTTTGACCTCAATTAAATTTAGGATATAGAAATCTTTCTAGAAACTACAATAAACCTGAATAAATAATATCAGAGTGAAAAAATAAAGCAATAGAAGAAAAATTATGAGGGAACATGTAATTAATTTTGAAGTAAATGTGACCAATAATAAGGAGTATGATTTCTGAAGAGGGTAATATCAAAGTGGACTTGAATGCTTTGAGAGAAGAGGTAGGACTTAAGCTATCCTTTGAAGGTTGGTGAGAGATTGGAAAGGTCTGCTAAGTAAAAGTTACAGTAAGTATAAGCAGGATTTTAAGTTAGGCAAGCCCAAGCCATCTGTGGTCAGCAAACCCTGAGAATTATAACACATGGGAAGCTCTTTAGAATGGAGAGTTGGAGCTGTTTATAGTGGGCTTTGAATGCCAACCTGAGAATTTGATGCTTTATCCTCCAAAGTTGATTTCTGAGCAGAAACTGATGTAACAAAGTAAACAGGTCCTTTTTAGTATCTGGCAATTGCTTTTGATAGATTTTATTTAATCTGTGCTCTTCCAGAAATAGGGGAGAGTCAAATAATATCATAGAGAGTTATTCAATCTTTTTAAAATCAGTCTTCATTTAAGCATCATTTAAGATCACACTTCAGGAAACACTTGCATGAACATATATTAGCCCTGTCCAGAAACTAATTGTTAAGTTTCAGTTTTCCATTATTGATTAGAACAAATTTTCTGAAATGAGCACCTACCAGGGAGATTAAAAAGCAGTTCAGGAATCTGATGTTGAGAGGCCCTGGAAGGTACGCTTGAATAATAAACATGATGCAGAATTCTGTTTCACCCTCTGAGCATTCTGCATTGTCAAATACACTGACTGGATAGGTGAAAAAAGACGTCAGTTCTTCTGGGCGTGTTTCAGGCTGCATTAGAAGTAGAACCGCCCCAAGTAACTAAAAATGGTGGTGGGGGAGGGGGATTCTATGGCAACATTTTTAAAGCTGGGGTGAGATTAGGTGGGCAGCATATCAAATTTCTTTCCCTACTGACCTTGCCAACTATTGCTAGTTACCCTCCCTCTAGGGCTAGTTTGAAATCAGAACTATACATATTTCCTTTTTAACCTATGGTTACTACTCTCAAGCAAAGCTTCAAATTTCCAAATGCTGATAAAACTGCTAAACCAAAATAGTCAATGGCTTCATGTGGAGGAAGAAATGACAGTTGTAGACATATTTTTGTTGCTATTTCATTCTGACTGTATAGTATCAAGAGACTATCTTCTTCACCAAAACATTGGCAAGAAAGACATGGTAAGAATATATTTGGATTTCCAAACTGGCAATCTAGAAGAACTTTGGTGGTAATGACATTTCATGTATTAGGAGGAGGTCAGGCTGGTGGTTATTAAACAGAGTCCAGAAGGCCTTTCTTAGGTAAGAGGAAAGGAAGAGATAGCATCAAGGAAGTAGGAAAGGAGGAGATAGCATCAAGGAAGCAGGACATCATCGTAAATGGAGAACTATTTTAATGTGAATTGGTCTTACAAAAGGAAGAGACATTGTCAGAGAAGCCTGATAGCACATGAAACTTCATATTTGCTATTGTTGCAATAACAGTAATGTCTGCTTTTTCTACATAATTTTCTTTCCAGAAATCTCTAACACTTTGCCCAATATAAAAGTTCAAGCAGTTTCTGATTTCTAAATGAATGGTACAAATTTCAGTCATATGTGTTCAGATATAACATTAGATAACATTGAATAAGCCGTAAATTTGATTTAGAAGGACGATACCCAAAGCAGTG